ACCATCTAACTCTTGTGGCGTATCGAGGCTTTTCAAACATCGATCATCCTGTTCTGTAACGATTAACCGATAAGGGTACAGTCAACGGCAAATCTGGCTCCGCTGATGAAATTATGGCAATTCAGCGAAAACAACTTTCACTCGTTAATTTAGAGATTTTTGATATCGGAACCTAGGGATATTCAGATTCGGCTGTGGGAGTCTAGGGATATTTGGATCTAGGGATTTTCAGATGTAGGAATATTGGAACCTGGGAGTTTTGGGATTTAGGGAGATTGGGATTTAGAGAGATTGGGATCTAGGGAGATTGGAAACTAGGAAGATTGGGATTTAGGGAGATTGGAAACTAGGGAGATTGGGATCTAGAGAGATTGGGATTTAGGGAGATTGGAAAGTAGGGAGATTGGAAACTAGGGAGATTGGAAACTAGGGAGATTGGAAACTAGGGAGATTGGGAAGTAGGGAGATTGGAAACTGGGGAGATTGGAAACTAGGGAGATTGGAAACTGGGGAGACTGGGATCTAGAGAGATTGGAAACTAGGGAGATTGGGATCTTGGAAGATTGGGATCTAGAGAGATTGGAATCTAAGGAGATTGGGATCTAGGGAGATTGGGATCTAGAGAGATTGGGATTTAAGGAGATTGGGAACTAGAGAGATTGGAAACTAGGGAGATTGGAAACTGAGGAGACTGGGATCTAGAGAGATTGGGAAGTAGGGAGATTGGAATCTAGGGTGATTGGAAACTGGGGAGATTGGAAACTAGGGAGATTGGAAACTGAGGAGACTGGGATCTAGAGAGATTGGAAACTAGGGAGATTGGGATCTTGGAAGATTGGGATCTAGAGAGATTGGAAACTAGGGAGACTGGGATCTAGGGAGATTGGAAACTAGGGAGATTGAGATCTAGGGAGATTGGAAACTATAGAGATTGGGATCTAGAGAGATTGGAAACTAGGGAAATTGGGAATCTAGGGCTATTGGTACCTGAGGCTTTTGGGATCTAGGAATATTGCGCTCTTGAAATTTTCGACTTAGGGATTTTTGGATCTAGGGACGATGAATTGATAAGAAAACTTAAAATCGACTAAACGCGATAGTTGAAACCTGTCGAAAGTTCGACTAACTTTTAAAAGTACGATGTTTTCCTGCGTTGCATAAACTGCGTATCTCGCGCAAAATACTCATGCAGTATTCATGATATACCATGAACGTTGGAAACATTCTCATCGATGTTTTTCTTCTGGTTTAACACCCTTATGGCTCCGTAACGTTTTCGGGATAGTTCTGAATAATTCAGAAACCATTTGAATTATAAATACTGTACTTCTTCTCCATTTGGGGGATGAAGGTCATTGCCGTGTGCGGAGAATTTTTTCACGCACGTAAACATTACCTGTACTTGCGTTTATTTGTTGGAAGAAAACTTGCAACGTGGGGAAGTTTAAATCCACTTGCAATTTGGGACAGTTTAAACTATAGTTACTTATTTAAAATATTGACTTGGGTTAATGTACATACATTATAATGTCACCCGAGTTATAATTGTCTGTGTATAATTTATGGTCTATTAAAATAAGATAAATGCTTGTACCTGAAATGAAAGTACGAGAACGTATGAATGAAGCAGACAAGTTTAACAAAATGTTCGTTCCACGGAAACTTGCGTCGCTGTTTTCCCCCGCCATTTACAACGCCAGCTATAAATAGAAATACAATAAATTGTATCTGAGAAAAACAGCGAAGTATTTTAAAGAGACAGCAGAGTTGTATAAGAAAGATAATCTCCTGACAAGGGTATCTGAGTTATTTGCCAAGTAAAAACTTGCGGTTCGTCGATATAAAATGGACGATTTAATACGTTTACTCGTTTTCGATACCCGCGACCGTTCGTTCCGTTGAAAACTCGCTAAATCAGGATTTCTCGAAAACGATTACCACCAATTATCGACGATCCTCGAGTCCCAATTAAGCTGTTGCAAATTAACCGGAGTCAAGTGTGCACAGGTAATCGCGCAAAAAAGACAAGGTATTAATTAAGGAGTTGTTATTTTTTTTATAAGTCGCGTAATTCATTGGCTACCGTAAAACGGTTCACCTTGGGACCTTGCGTAATATTTCGACGCCTCCCCAGCGTGTTTATTCGACCCGTTATGCAATCGGTGCATTTGAATAATAGCTGGTCTCGAAAAGCATTTATGCAACGACAGTTTTTTGTGCGTTGACTTACTTTGTTTTTACGATTATCGCAGATCGCGGTGAACTCTGGCGCCTCAATATCGTTTCGCGAAAAGTGAAATCTTAATACCGTAAATGGCGATTCGTTACGAAAATAAAATACGCTTTTGATGACAGGTTTGTATCTCATTCGAAGATGTTTCGTTATCGTCAAGGATAATAAAAAAGATCGTTCTGACAATCTGTTTAATTAAATTGTAATATATTGCGTACTTCAGATTCGAAACGGTGTCCTGTCGTGTTATTACACTCTTATGAAATATTTTATAAGGCTATATATTCTCATTTATATTCTCGTGTATTTTGTGAGGTATGTATACTAGTCATGTACTGAAATCACCTCGTGTTATATAGCCGTTTGCATAGACAAACAGTAAATCATTAGATGTTGTGTCGAGGTATGATTTTTATCAACATCGTTGTTAATATTGTAGTTATATAATATATAACTAAATGTGTAATATATAATTAAATTTTATATAATATAATTGTATATTATTATATATAATTATATTATATATACATATAATTAAATTATATATTACATATTATACATGTAATTATAATTATATAATATTATAGTATTATAATATTATAATATACTATAATAAATATTACAGTTCAGAGCGTTGTATCTTAGGTGCGCTATAATTCAACATGTATTTTGGCGCGTTATTTGAAACGTAATTCACTGCGTCGCATATCGGCTTGTTGAAATCCATAGCGCTGTATTTTGACATACTGCATACTCTTGCACTGCAATTCAATACGTTGTATATCCACACGTTGTTATTGACCATGTTGTATCTCGACATGCCCCATCCTCCCGCGTTGTCATATCAACACAGTCGGTGCACCTGAAACAGTCATATTTCTATAAACTTCCATAATAAAATTAAAAAGTATATTAGAATAAAATATACCATAACAAATAAATATGTCAAATCTTAACGCGTAAGAAGCGGCAAACCATCGGTTAAAAAGAGTGTGCGATAAGAACGTAAATCTTGTCGCCACATTTCTGACGGAAATGCGGCCTACGAACGCCGGAAACGTACACGTTTAAGGCGCGTATGTACGTGTGCTGTTTGCCGTGCCACGGACCGGAAATACGAAACCGGCACGGGAAAACGTATCGGTTGGCGAGACGAGAGAACGATGCCCTTTTCTTTCCAACCTGTTTCACCGGCGAGATGTTACAGGTTTTTCAAGAGAGTACCCTCCCTTCCCCCGTGGGAAGAGGTAAGTGCATCGCACGGACAGGTGTGTGTACCAGCGAACACGAAAAGCTCTCGACCAACGGGACAAAGGAAAAGTCGAAACTGTGTCATATCGAGCGGGTTGGACAACTTCAGATGGAAAATTTTCCATTAACTTTTTCAGTCACTCAATTTGATCGTTCTCTCCGATAAGAATTTCAGTTATTGTGGTACTCCACTCTTCCATTATCAAACAGACATTTATTGCAATACACTGGCTATTTGCGGTAATAGGGACCGGTGTTTTTCTCGTGCACAGTGAAGATTTCAAGAAATGATTGATTTCTCGAGAAATAACACAAAAAGCAGGTCATCGTGTTGCTGCAATAGTTTCCTCTTACATTTTTTTAAAACGTTATTGTGTACGAGGAAAACACTGGTCTAATACCCTGTCACTTCAATATCGGTTAGTTTCGGACGCATTCGGCTTTTACCGAAGCATTTTTCGTAGTATTTTCCGTAGTACACCGTATTGCTTGTATGTCACCTTACATTATGAAAATTTGCACGAACTGTCTTCCTTTCTTCTTTGTATTGAATTATTAACAACGGAAATGTCATTCCGACAACCCCTGTAATTCACGATCGACTGGACTGTCATACAGGTTATGCACTGTCGTGTCATGTGATTCTACGATTAGCACCGAAGATTAACGGAATTACCCGATCTAACGCCACTCGTGCCCTTGCAGCTAACTTCCGTTTATACAATATCCGTGGGACAAAGATATTAATACAGAACGATTGTTATGACACAAAAGCTTATAATTGCTAAATAAAGGAAGAAAAATGGCAGTATGTATATCGAATTACCTATAAATGTGTGTACTTCTTATCTTACGAAATTCATTTCTGGTTGCGTCACTTTGCTCTCTCACTTTTCCGGCCGATGAAAAATTGCTACAGCTTGTAGAGATCACAGTTACAGAATTGTGCGAAGCAATTTCATGCAATGTAACTGGAAGAAACGAAGTCGCTAGAACCGTCAACCGGTGCATAAAACGACAGCCATTATAATGGGAACGGTAGCGAGCAGCTTATTAAAGAAAAATATCAATCCGCTGTCGTCTGCAGTTGGTTCCACGGGTTCAGCGGAAATGGCGATTCAAAGCGGACGCGCACCAGATACTAATGGTTGCCAGTAACCACTGGAAGCAAGCGAATGACGATCAGGAAACTCGATCGAAAATGGCGCAGCCCATTAGTCGGTGGGAACTTATCGAAAAGATCGTTGCTTGTATACTCTATAAAAACAGTGTAATTTGTTGAAGTTGTCTACCGACACGAACGGCAATTATTGCTCTCTGAACCGATTTAACGGAACAGTTCTACTTGTGTGATAATGGCGGTATTTAATGACGAATGAGATTAATTTCGTTCGAAATAATTGAAATAATAGTGGCGTTATTACACTATTCCTGGATGTAAGACTTTCAATTGATATTTCTCTAAATTGGCGAAGTTACAAGTTCTTATGAAACCTTGATTTTTTTCTTTTTTCAGAATCTGAAGAATACGTGGATCGAAAGGAAAGCATCCATTGTCCAAGGATAAATTGCACCTCGAACATCCGGTGAGTGCTAACATTTCTCATAAAATTATTACTTTAAATGAATAGAAAATTCAACTGCATCGTAAAAATAAAAATTTATTTGGGTAAAATGCACAGATTGCGTGTATACTTGATAATGTAAGGTAAGAGGTTAAACGGAATTCATCCGCTCCGATCTTCCAGACCCGTTTAACACGAAATTTCACTGTAAACGTTAGACGTTGCGTGTATCGTTGCAAGAAGTCGAGAAAAGCCGAGGGAATTACACGGATTTCTTGCTGGTACCTTCGTGAAAACGTGGGAAATCGTGTTGGGGTGCATCGACGCCCATTACGAGGGAAAATCCTCTAACACCCATTACATGCGCGCGCACGCGAGCGAACAAAATAACACACGTATGCGGTTTATAAGCGCGTTCGTTTCAATCCTCTTATTCGAACGCATTGAAAGCTTTCAGTTTTCCCGGACTGAAAATGTGTAAACGAATGTTACGATCGCGTGATCGATTTTCGAACGTGATAGAAACTGCTGGAAATACAACAAAATGTTGAAAAATAGTTTAGGTGTAGAGCATCGTGTCTGTTCAATTGGAACACGTAGGAGCACGTTAACTGTTAAAAATTGCTCGTTCATCATAGGTTTTTGTAGCAAATTGTGATGTAGTGATATCACTTACATTTAGCCTTCAACGATTGGTAATTTTTCTTATTTATTATATGGTGTTTAGTTGCCTCGATGCGTCGTAATTTTAATTGGTGTAGTGCGCTTTATTTTGATGCGCAGTAATTCGGCGCACTGTAATTCGATGCGTTGGATTTCTGCGCGCTGTAATTTGGCGCGTTGCATTTCTATGCGCTGTGATTCGACGCGTTGTATTTCCACGCGCTGTAATTCGACGCGTTGGGATTTAATGCGTTGCATTTCTATGCGCTGTATTTCTACGCGCTGTGATCGACGCGTTGTATTTCCACGCGCTGTAATTCGACGCGTTGGGATTTGATGCGTTGTGTTTCTACGCGCTGTGATTCGACGCGTTGTACTTCAGTGCGCTGTGATTCGACGTATTGTATTTCTACGCGCTGTAATTCGACGCGTTGGGATTTGATGCGTTGTATTTCTACGCGCTGTGATTCAACACGTTGTACTTCAATGCGCTGTGATTCAGCGCGTTGTATTTCTACGCGCTGTAATTCGACGCGTTGGAATTTGATGCGTTGTATTTCTACACGCTGTGATTCGATGCGTTACACTTCAGTGCGCTATGATTCGACGCATTGTACTCCAAAGCGCTGTTGTCCAACGCGTTGTGTTTCTACACGCTGTGTTCCTGAGCGTTGTAATTCGACGCGCTGTAATTTTACGTGTTACACTTCAGCACATTGTAATCCAATGATATATATCCTAATGTGTTACATTTAATGCATTATAATTCGACGCGCTGATAATTTACACCATAAATTTCGACGCATTTCATCATCAGACACTAAACGTACAAATCCGTAAAGCTAACTTCAATGAAGTTTACTTAACAATCCACTCAACTTCCCTGTAACAAAACTTCACCTACGATCCGGCGATATACAACGAGAAAAATAGTGAAGAAGAAGTCGCGAAAAACAGGAATTGCGTATGTTATCTAGAAGTTACACGAGAGGGTTGCAAACGAATTCCCGCGGGTGACGTTATCGACTTTGTCGAGTATCGACACGTGTACGCGCGAACACGGGAAAAGTACAACGTCGAGGCGTGTATCGGTGCGCGTGCGAGTGAATTTATTTACGATCACAGTGCGTTGTTACAGCCACGCGCGACTTTATTGTTTACAAGGGTGCAGGGGCCATTAATTGCGGCTTTTAGTTCGGCCATTTCCTTCCCGCTTGCAGGCTGGCCACGCGACAGAAAGAAGTCGATAAACGACCTGTTAATTTGTTGGCTGCGAGATCGAACCTTATGCAGCTACGTACAGACTTACATACAGAACCGCTAAATGCCACCGTAAACCGGTTTGCAGTGTGCGTATGCGAGTGTAGGACTTAGGACGAACGGTGTTGTTCGATTTATGTACGTTCCTGTGTCGACACGTTGCTCTTACAAAGGTGACTCGTATTAATTGCATTAATCTTTCTTTGAATTGAAAGCTGCGTTCGCTGTGTCCTGTTTCGCGATATCATTTATTATTGCGGGGATTATTTGAACCTCTTTTGGGGTCAGTCACCTATGTCGATTCGAGCAATTAAATTTATGCCCGGTGGAGAAGCGAATTATTTCCGGTTTTTTTATTAAAATTCATGATTTTATGAATATTTTTAGATGTAGAAATTTGAGAGTGCATAAGTTTCGAAATGGGATATTTAGAAATTTGTTGAAGTGAAAGTTTTTGACGTTTAGGTTAAATGAATACATTCGTTAATATCGAAGATTATCTCGCGTTATATAGCCGCACGTGGAATTGTTATTCATTGGGATTGTCTCGCGTTATATAGCCAAGCATAGTAATTTGACACTAAAAATGGTTTCGCATGGAATTTTGATGGTGGAAATTGCCTCGCGTTATATAGCCGGACACGAAATTGATATTCGTTGTTGCCTCGTGTTATATAGCTATGTGTGGAATTCCCACTTGCAGGATTGTAACGCATTACATTGCTACGCATGAAATTTCCATTGTGAGAGTTGTCTCGCGTTATATCGCCGTTCGCTAAATTATCACACGTTATATAGCCACGCGTGGAATTGTCGCCTGTAGGATTATAACACACTGCATTGCTATGCGTGGAATTTCAATTGCAGGAGTTGTCTCGCATTATATCGCCGTTCGCCGAATTGTCACGCGTTATATAGTCACACATGGAATTGCTACTCGTAGGAGTGTAACGCAGCACATTGCTACGCGTGAAATTTCAATTTTAAGAGTTGTCTCGCGTTATATCGCCGTTCGCCAAATTGTCACGCGTTATATAGCCACGCGTGGAATTGCCACCTGTAGGACTATAACGCACTGCATTGCTATGGATGGAATTTCAATTGCGGGAGTTGTCTCGTGTTATATTGCCGTTTGCCGAATTGTCACGTGTTATATAGCCATGCGTGAAATTGTTACCTGCAGGCTTGTAATGCAGTACATTGCTACGCTTGGAATTTCAATTGTGGAAGTTGTCTCGCGTTATATAGCCGCGTGTGCAGTTACACGATATATAGCCACGAATGATATTGTGAATGAAATAGCTACATACGTTGTATTACCACGTATTACTACGCCATGAAGTGACAGAGTTATGCTTAGAATTGCAGTACATTACAGTACCACGAGTTATACCACCACGCATTACATCACCTTGCACTATACGACCAAATCAATCGTAAAAGAATTCATTCCTGCACTTAATAAATTGGCACTGCATATTCATAACGCCATTAACGTCGTGTAATAAAATTCCTGTTATAATTCCTTTCATTTCGAAACTCTTATAGCCATATTATCGGCCACAATTTATTTCTACGTCGATGAATTGAGTTTAAACTTCCTTCATATTTCTGTTCTTAAACGAGCTCGCGTTCTTGCAAAGTCGCGTGTACTATCAAAGATTTTCGATCGAATTCCTAGAGCTTTATTCAGTCGCGACAGGGAACAGATGTTCCCTAGCCAGGTAAACGATTTCCTTAATTAGTCCCACGATGGTCAGGTGCAAAGCAGGAAGTCGGGACACGGAGGTCGGTACAAGTTTCATACGATCACCAGCTAGTTCACAGTCAAAGAGAAGATTCATAGTCGCGAATACACGTGCCGGCGCGGCGTAACGTAGAAAGAAGATTGCCCTTGCAGATACATACTTACAGGAACGAGAAAATTCTATTCCCTGGGTAAATAATTGCTTTTCCTTGTTTAGGCTGACCGTTATACACGGGATTTCAATTCGTACCGTGATAGATAAGACTGCAGATAAATTAATCACTTGTACTGTTACACATATATCGCGAGCAATGAGCGTTTAATTTGATTCGCATAATACTATCAGATAAACTTTGAACGATATGTCCTGTCTCACGCTCTTTATCGCCATCTTTGTCTTCAGTGATTCACAAGTTTAAGTGCTCATAAATGTTCAAGTCTATGAATTCTTTAGTTTTTCAATTTTCCAATTTTGATATTTTTAAAATTGTATGTACAATTATTTAAAATTATATGTACATTATATACATATTCTATATATATTATCAAAATTCTGTATTTATAAAATTTCATAAAAATCTCCAAATTTCTCAAACACTGTATTCATACATCTGAAAATCCCTAGATTGAAAAGTTTTCTAGATTTCATATTCCCTAAATACCATGATTCCTACATCTACATTCATCATTAGATTTAAAAATCCCTAGATAAAAATATCCCCGGGTTAAAAATCTCTAGATCTAAATATCCCTAGACCCAATAATTGCTAGATAAAAATATCCCTAGATCTAAGAATTCCTAGATCCAAAAATTGCTAGATAAAAATATCCGTAGATCCAATAAATTCCTAGATAAAAATATCCCTAGATCCAAAAAATTCCTAGATAAAAATATCCCAAGATTCAAAAATTTCTAGATAACAATATCCCTAGACCCAAAAAATCCCTAGATCATAGATCCATTGACCTTAAGATCCGCAAACTTTCAAAGTTATAAATTCATAAATCCCTAGATCTTCAAATTTCACAATGAAAAAATCCCTAGATAAAAATACCCCAAATGCCAATATACCTAGATACCAAAATTGCTGACTCCAACAAAGTCTAAATTTTTTAATCTAAATTTACTATAAATCCCCAAATCTTCCAAGTTCCTATATTCTCAAAACCTTAATCCATCATCGAATTGTCAAATCTAAAAAAATATCCTGAAATCTACGAACGGGATACTTCATGTTCGCTTGCCATATTTTTCGCGGCGAAGACAGATTTGTCGTTGACTGTACAGCGCGATTTGTATCGCGTTCGTTCGTCGGTCCCCCGTCGCGTCGTCGTTTTTTCCTCGCGTCGC